CAGACATACTGCTGTGCCACTGGAGGGCATTACATTCGGTTAATTCAACTCATTTTCAAATGTTGTTGTCTTGGTATATGGATACAAAGAGGTAAACTTAAGTTGTTGTTTTTTCTTGGGCTGAATGACTTTTAGTTGTCTTGCTTTTAGTTATGTACAAAGTTAAGTCATGACCCATAATATCATATAGAGTGCTCTTATATGAAAAACAAGAACATGTCAAACATTAAAAAAATTGGTAAGGCTTGAAAATATTTTTGAAAACTGTTACTTTCTAAATGTTTTTTTTAATAACTTCTGATAATATTTAAATTCTGTGCTACCAACAGAAGTCAAGATAATAAGCCTATATTTTTCCACATTCTCTCTCAATGCTTTCTTCCAGTTATCATTAACTTCTGATCAAATCAAGCTACTTAAATAGATCATAACTGAAATTAAATACACTAATTAATATACCATTCTAACTAATTGTATACAAACTCGTAACACAAAAATTTAAATCGACAGAGATCACATTGGCAACCTTTCAATTCTCAGGAAGTTCTATTGAAGAATCTTTTAAAAAATAAGTCTCCTCTAAGTTTTCGGAAAGTTTCTTCAAGGATAGTTAATAAATCTTGAAAGGTCAGGAACCTTACCTAAAACAAAGAATTAAGAACAAAATGAAGCATTTCCCTTAAAAAACTAAATTCAACTTTTCTTCTAAGTAAAAAAACTGTTTAACACTTCAGCCTCATTCTTTACCTCTATAATAAGTTAACCATTGAAATATCTTTAAAAAGCTATATTACCTTTGTCTTTCTTCTACCAACATGAAAGTATATGCTTTTCAATTCCACTTAAGATTGTTTTTGTAAGTTGAGAAACTTTTAATCCCTCTTTAACTTTTTTGATTTACAAATAAATCTTTTCATACTATATTCAACTGACAATTTTTTGTAATAATGCTATGACATGTAAAGTCTCATTACCAGACTATTTCTAGTTGATTTTGTAAGCCTTTAACATTTTCAGCCAGGTATTTTACTTTGACCAAAAAAAAAATACTGTAATTTCTTTTTGTATAGTCCTGTCACACAAAACTATTTTCAGATTTTGTCTCGGTACTTACTTAAAATATTTTGATATGCTTTAAATGTTATAGTGAACAGCTACCATACCAATTTCTAGTCAACATGACTTATGAAGCAGTTGATTTAGAAATGTTCTCTTTTTTAATGTAAGAACATTAAATGGTGTTCAAAATAGTGGTAGAAGCAGATAAACTAGCCAAAAAGAGTGGTTTGGCAATATAACAATTTTTAGAAACAGAACACTAATAGAGAATTAGTCTCAGATCTGTTAAATTATGCCATCTTTTATTTCAGATGGTCAATTTGAGAATGACGTATAAAAAAATAATAACTATAGTTCAAACAAATGTCTTGGATTCTTTTAGAACTTGTGTTTTTGATATTAAAATATTTCCCCACAAAAAACAATTATAAATTGATTCTAATTATAATCGCAATATACCACAAACATATTATTATGCATATGCGAACTCTCTAGATATTATTAATTCGTTCGTTGTATATTTTCATATTTCAATATTTGAATGTTTAGCTTAGTTATACTTTACCACATCATGATTCAAAAATCACTTCTTTCATTCTTCATCGTTTCATACATTTGTGATAATCTTTCACATCTTTAAATGCTATGTATATATAGGCTTTGTTACACAACTTGTCCAGGTATTCAAACTACGTTTACCCTAGACTACATACGTACTTTTCTCTGAGCCGTAATTTTTTAAAAAAATAAACACTTTCAGTTCACATTCGATTGGATCCGGTATGCGTTGAAATGACTTCGGGCGTCATAAGTAAGGCTTTTGTATCTTTGGAAAACAAATAACGTATCTTTTATTAAAGAAAAATCTTCACTTTTAAAACAAATTGAGTAAAAAACTGATACGGCTTTCTAGCTTTTTAACATAAATGGAAAATTATATTTATCAAACAATCTTAAGACAACACTTTCAGATCATGGCCTAGTATTTAACCAATAGCATGGTAATCTGTAAACCTAACTCATTCGCCATCTATGTGTTAGATTGTAACTATTATTTAGGGAAGAAATTTTATTTAAAACTGTTTAATGTTTTACGAAAACGAGAAGATACACAAACACTTGTAAGTTCACAATTTCTGTAATTATTTCTTCCTATTTTCTCCGATAATTTATTCTTCAATAAACAACAATTAGGTGCAAATTCTAATGAACGAATAAAATGATAGAAAGTTATTGCTCAACGATATCATAGGAATAAGAGTCGAAAACTTCGCTTTTTGTTTTCTTTTACAGTTATATGTCATCCAACATTGGCGTTCTTTTTAAACAACAGGCAAGTAATTGTTTTCTAATTTGAAGCATCTTGAAATATTAGACGTAAACTTCATAATTTCGACATCCAAAATACAAAGTCGACTATAAAAATATAACCTACAAAGGTGCACATTATTTGGAATTTCAAATGTTAATTAATTATAGTATTTTGGCACTTGTGTATAAATTTAAAATCATAAATAATATTCAACGTTAAACTGGTACACAATTAGAAACATTTTATATAGGCCTATCCATG